CCTGATATGCAGATGCTAACACACAATAAGGGGAGGGTGAGGAGGGAAAGAATTGAAGTCAGTTGGATTAGACAAAAGGGAAGGAAGGGAAGGGAGGGAGGAGGGGAATAGGAAGGGCAGTAGAATTAATCAGACATAACTTTCCTAGCCTTGTATTTGAATACATGACCAGGGTAACTTTGCATCATGAATAACTATAAGAATGGGATCCTAATTAGAATAAGTTATACTCCATGTATGTATAATGTACCAGAATACATTCTACTCTCATTTATAACTAAAAAGAACAACAACAACAACAAAGCTTGCTTTAACAGTTTTCCTTCTTCTAAAGCAGCACTCATGTAGTTTTATCTTTACATTCTTATTATTTTTTAGCATTTTAAAATTTGTTCTAATTAGTTATATATGACAGCAGAATGCATTTCAACTCATTGTACACAAATGGAACACAGCTTTTCATTTCTCTGGTTGTACATGATGTAGAGTTACACCATCGTGCAATTATACCCATACATAGGGTAATGATGTTGGTCTCATTCCACCATCTTTCCCACCCCCTTATGCTCTCCTTTTCCCTTGCTCCCCTCTGCCCAACCCAAAGTCCCTCCATTCTTCCCTTGCTCCCCCCCCCCATTATGAATCAGCATCTATTTATCAGAGAAAACATTTGACCTTTGCTTTTTTGGGGATTGGCTTACTTCACTTAGCATGATATTCTCCAGCTCCATCCATTTACCTGGAAATGCCATAATGAGATGATAATGAAGCTTCTTGTTTTGCTGGGTTCCCAAGTGCTGTATGATAAAGTATAGGATGTATTTTGTGACTCCACTTTTAAGAACAGAAAGTGTTTAACTGTGTTTCCATGGTGATAGCAGCAGTAGGCTGTCTTTCTGTTGCTCATCTTATGTTTTAACATCTCTAGATGTATCCCTGCACCTTGTTAGCCCCCAGTGACAGAGCCCATGAGTGTGGAAGAGTCAAGTGCTATATAGTCCATGAGTGAGTGATCAGACCTCTTGCTCTGCCAGGACCTGGTTGAGATATGAATATTGAACAACATACCACCTGATCCACAAAGATGACTGGACATGTGCTTTAAACATGTGGCTTTGAGATTCAATGAAGCAGAAAAAAAAAAAGGTAAAAGAGGAGAGGACAAAAAAGATATGCCCTACATTATCCAGCTAAAAGCATTATTATTATTATTATTAGCTACTAATTTATTTTAAACACCGCAAAAATCACTGGTATCAGGGTGACAGAGAAAATCTTCTCTTTAATTTGAATCTGCCCACTATGCCCATATCTCTGTTTCTTCCCCCGCTAGATACACCAGAAAAAAAAAAAGTACAATAAAATTCTTTAAAAGTAATGTTTTTACTCTTAGAGCTTTTAGAGAAAGTTGAACTATCTGTCCTCATGGGTTTTTACTTAGATAATTTGATCTTAAAATTCAAAGAGGCACAACACCAATAGAGAGATTTTTTTTTAAATTTCAAATAAATTGAATGATTTTATGTGACTGAATAGATTCCCAGATGAATAATGAAACACTTCTGAAATAGGTTCTTTGAAATAATGGAATTATATAAATTGAAAACACCATGGTTATTGCTACTGTTAGTGCATTAAATTTACTAGTCTTCAATTCTTACCCTGATGGTGTAATAAATGCTGCTCGTGTCACCTGCATGATCAAGTTCCACAGTGGTGACCTCTGCTATCGAACAGCAAGTTGCATGAAATACTGCCAAATTTCAAATTACATGGGTTAACTGAGAGTGACCCTAAGCTTTGATTAGTCATTGATTCTGCATTTTTTTCTTCACGGATGCTAAGGTCTGGTGCAATGGTTGATTATCATTTTTTAACATTTACCTAATCACTTTATTAGTAAAATTGTCAGCTATAAGGAAAAATAGGAAAGCTAAAGAGAAAGAAGTAACAAGAAGCACTGCCTATAAAATCTACCCCTCTGTATTTGTACTTGGGTATTAAAAACTGTTTATTAATCTTGAGTTCAAATATGTAACTTTAGTTTGCAATGTTAGTAAGTCTTTAAACCTGACATTCTGAAAACAAAAGGGCTTTTTAGGAGGCTTTTGATAAATAATATAGCAATTATGAATAATTGATGAAGAACTTTTATCCTATCAAATCTCACTGCTCTTAAATAATCAAATAGACTTCACACTTTAGAAAATTAGTATGATGACTAAATGAATCTGAAGAATTCACTATGGACTTAGGCTGTTCATTCTGTACTTCTTCCATGAAAAATGTCAGCCCAAACTCATGCATTTCCATATATGTAAGAATAATTTAGTAAATAATTTCTTTTTCAAAAATGAAGGTTCGGGCTGGGGCTGTAGCTCAATAATAGCTTAGTAGTCCTGTAAACCCAAGCTCCTATAATGCCCCCCCCAAATAGCAGCTACCACATCTGACTGATTTTGCCTTTTATTGACATGAAATGACTATGTATTTAAATTTGATGTACTGGGGGCTTCTCTGAAATTGTTCTTCACTCCCTCCTCCCTTTTGCCCTTCTGAAGGAGGACCCAGTCATTATCCTAAATCATTCCTTTCGCTCCTCTGACCTCTTCTTTCTTTGACTTATTTCTTCTCCCCAGTTTATCTCAATTTCTAGGAATGGCAAGTTCTGCAGGCAAACATCTCATGATGGGAACCCAGACTCCTCCTACCCCCAACAGTAATGACTCCCCTGATGCCAACAGGACTCCACATGACCAGACCTGAGATAAAGATCAACCAGATCACTATGGACCAAGACCACCAACTACACATACTTCTCACCTCGCACCCTAATTCCTCTCCTTTGTAAACTGTCATTACCTTGAAGGTAAGTCTTAAGTCACTAGACCTCTGTCCTTTCCAGTGTTGGCCACACTAAAAGTATCTTTCTTTTCTATTTCATTACCACTCTTTCTGTTATATGGATACTTTTTGGGGCAAGTGGCCATACCTGGTCTTTTGAGACCCCCCTGGAGCTAGACTTCTGATCTAGGCCTCCAGTCACAGAGATGTTATTTGTTGGCATTTTTGAAAGATACAAAGACTTAATCAACCATGGTTCTTGGTCTATAGTTGTTTTACAATATCAATAAGAATTAAATTTCTGAAAAATAAGAAAATATGCTGTTTAAAAAGTGATTTTGGGAGCTGGTATCTTTCATCAGTCTTAGTGAACAACAACTTTGACTGGATTCAGTCTTGATATACCGTGCGGATTTTTAATTTTAGTAAACATAAGGTTAATGGACAACCGGATTTCTCACTTTTCATTTGATTTGTCTGCTTTCTATAAATACAATCTGGATGGAAATATGTATTTTTACTTTGGGGGTATCAATACAATATCAAAATTATTGAAAACTAGAAGCCACTAGTATAAAACATGGATGTCATCTTATCCTTCTCAATCTCTTTTCATCCTATTTCCTTTGAAACTGTAGTAAATTCATCTTAGGGAAACACATACAATGGAAATACAAAGCTACTTGTTCTTTCTAATTTATCAGATGAAGATAATTATAATTATTTTTGAATATTTTCATTTTCAGTTGCAAGGCTAATCTCTCATTAATTATATCATGTAGTTCAAAACTAGCCTACTGGGATATCAATAAACTGGGATATAGTAAAACAACCAGAATTAAATACACATGGGATCAAATAAACTAGATGTTTCAGCTTTTATGCTATGGAAATATGAAATTCTGGCATTATATTGTTAGACACTTTAACTTCCTATTAACCAGTAGAAACAAAAAGAACTTGCCAAGATTTCTAGAAACATTACTGAATGGGGGCACCTTCTAAAACAGGCAATTACTCTAAGCTCAATTAACTATGATAAAACTTTAATTTTATTTCAAGGTTTATAGATAATTAATTCAGTCATGGAACATTATTTAAAATGTACTAGAAAATCCTTTTTTTTTTCCAGGAAGAATTTCACTATCGGAGTCACATGTGTCTGTAAGAATATTATAACACCTATGAGTCTTGAATTATGAGCACCTATTCTTTTAATTTACATCCAATTAATTCTGTTTGTGTTCTAATTTCAACTACAACTCTACAATTCATCAATGCTCTGAAGCTTGTATCTTTAATAAATTAAATGTACCTATTGCCATAAAAGAGGTATCCAAGCAGCATAAAATAAGAACCATGTTGCAAAAATTAATTGTTTTTCACATTTTGATAACTAAATTGACTTTTAATTGCCTATTTAGGTTTTTCCTCCCACCCTCTTTGCCATGGAAGTCAGCCTTTTGGCAACTTTTAAAGTCAATGATTGTGAAACACAATGTGTGACACAGGTGAAAAATACAACTGGTAACTAAAAGCCCCATGAAAAGGAAGGCATGGGAGAAAACAAGAGAACAAGCATTGAAGTTTAAGCTGAAAAGCAGAAAAACAAAACAGAGAAGATGCCACAAGAGTATTAGGGGCAAAGTGCTTGAGCCCTGTCATATCACTGCTTTTATATCCTTTTCCAGGATGAACGTAGTCATCCTGTAAGAGAGATGGACCAAGTAACAAGAGGCTTATTAGCCACATGCTGATGGCTAGGGGTTTCATTGCTTTCAATTTAGAATGCTCATGCTTCATTTTACATATGGTTCAGGAACTTATCTTTGGCAAGCAACAGCTAATCAGTCTAAATTAAAGAAAAGTAACTTAGCTCTAAGTAATTTAACATAAACCAGAATTTTTAAAAATCTGATTTATTTAAAGTACTCTTTCATTTAAAAAATTATCTATCAAAGTTCTTCCATGTTTAGGAATCAAAGTTTAAGAATAATGTAATAAATTTGAAGAACAAACATTTTGACTTGCAAAGAGAAAAATCAGGACAATTTTAAGAGCAAGTCTTTATAAAAGAACTTAGAAAGTCATGTTATTTAGAAATTATATATATTACATATGTGTGTACATTTACAACATACATCACTATATTTTTATTTTTAAAGGTCATCTAATTATAGTGATGCACTATGTTTAATGAGATCCATTGATGTTGTCCATTTCATTATTGAATCAATTTTTTTCCTTTTGAAATTGGCCCTTAAATTATCCCTCATGATTTTGAGATATGTGAAACAGGATTCATAATATAAATAATACTTCAAAATTTTATCTGAATAATGAGTATAAGAGAGTCTTTTGTTGGCAAAAAGCTCAGTAAATAGTATAATGGAGTAATGTACATAAATAGCACATACTTACCAATTCTCGTGGACCATATGGCTCACAGAAGGTGACAGCATTGCCATGCATAATTGCACCACACTGTTCTCCAGTTTCACAGTTGTTACATTCAACCCTGCAGGAACACAGAATGCATTCCCAGTCTGAGAACTAAGGAGCACAATGTGGTGTATAGCTTAGTTAAGGAAAGGCATAATAGTTAATGTTATTCGGCTCAAATATTCATTTCATAGACGGTAAGGTGACAAAGTTCAGAAGACCTGAAACCAGAAAGACTTGAACATAAATCCCAATCCTTGCAGTTACTTGCAGTGGTGAGAAGTTACTTAAATCTCCCAAAGTTTCACTTTGCTGGCCTGTAAATGAGGATAATAATGCTGACTTAAACATCATAGAGCTACAGTGAGGATTACATAAAGGTATGCAGAAAGTACAGAGTACAGAACCAATTTCATAGTAGGCCCTTAGTAAAGGAAGATAGCATTATCAATAATTACATATTACATATATTATACCCAGTACAAGAAAGTTTGCACCTAGTCACTATAGCACACACCTATAATTCAAGCTCCTTGGGAGGCTGAGACAGGAGGATCGAAAGTTCCAGGCCAGCCTGGGCAATTTAGGGGGACCTTATCTTAGAGTGATAAAACAAAAAGAGCTGGTTGTGTAGCTCTGTGGTAAAGGGCCACTGAGTTCAATCCCTAGTAACCACACACATACAAAAAAAAGTTTGCAAATATTAAAAAATAAGCAAGTTAACGTCCACTTATACAATGAACTAAAAATCTAGATCTGAAATAAAAAGTTGTTTTACATATTTTAAACACTTTTCTTTTGCATATGGTCATTGTAAAGGATTTAACTGTCCTCAGATTGTCATTATACAAGGCAATACGCTAAAAGTAATAGAATCAGATGTTATATTCAGTCCTTATATTACTGTGCACATTACTGCGAAATATACAAAATTTCTAATTCAAGAAAATGTTGGATACCAAGTTAGAATATCAACCTTGCAAATAATTTAGTTAGCTGCTTTACTGCTATAAAATGAAGTATTAATAAAAACTTAGGGCAGGATCTCAAAAATAAATTTATTCATGTCTACCTAGTAGAAACTGAAGGTATGCATAGTGTGAATTTGATTTTGTATATTTGTGGTAGAGTTCATAATGCTCTGTACTGTGGCATTTCAACCTGAGATCATTACACACTTAACATGTAGAAAGATCTATATTCCCCTTCTCAGATCCTCAAGCCACATGAGAGCTGTATTTTATGCAGAAAGAACTTTTCCAAAGACTTTCACACTCCAGGTGCCAAACTCTGTGGAAAGGGCACTGTGCCCTTTACTTAAGACAGAGATCATGGTATTACTCCTTGCAGCTCTTAGCTAATTTCAGAGAGAGGGAGTGGGAACT